AATCTATGTGCTGAACAAATACTTCAAGAAGCAGAACTATATGAAAAAGAATGCAGCATCAGGATTGGAAAAGATTCATCAACAACTTGCATTATGTAGATAATACAACCTTGCTAACAGAAAGTAAAGAAGACTTAAAGCACTTGCTAAAGTATATCGAAGACTACAGCCTTCAATGTGGATTACATCTCAACATCAAGAACAGAAGAATCCCATTACTGGATCAATAGACAACACCATGGCAGATGAAGAAAAGATTGAAGTTGTCAACAACTTCATTTTACTTCTAATCACTCATGGTAGCAGCAGTCAAGAAATTATAAGACTCACATAGCAAAAAAAGATAGAAGCAATCTAAATGTCCATAAATAATTAAAAGTGTAAAGAACTACGGTACATTCACACAACGGAATACTGTGCAACACTGAAAAGCAATGAATAATTCATGAAACACTACATAATATAGAACAGCCTAAAGGTCATTATTCTCAGTGAAATAAGTCACAAAAGGACAAATATTGCATAAGATCACTGTATAAAAGGCCACAGAAAGATTTACAGGTAGAGAAAATCAAGCTCTGGTGGCATAGCGGCAAGAAGCTGCACTGCAATCCTGAAGGCACACAGTTCAAGGCCACCAGTTGCTCTGCTGGAGGATGAGCAATCTCCTCTCACACAATTAACTGCCTATGAAAACCTGCTGAAGGGCCACTATAGATCAGTTCCAATTCGATGGTGCATAACACCAACACCACCAAAAACTGAAAGGAAGGAGTAGAATATTAATTGATCAAAGATGATGAATGAAGGAAGGATAGTGTGGAATGAATGGTAAATCAAACATTTTGTGTATTATAACCCCTGTTGTGGAACAGAATATGCATGAATGATTGGAAGAAAAACCAATATGCTTTGTAAACTTTCATTCAAATCACAGGAAAAAAAGGCCAGATAACACTGGAAAGGTCAGTTTAAAGACTAAGGTGCACCTGATCAAAGCTATAGTACTTCCACTTGATTCCTCTGAATCTGAAAGCTGTCTCATGGATAAGGCAGACCAAAGAAGAATCAATGCCTTTGAATTGTGCTGCTGACGAAGAGTATTGAATATCCCTTCGGCTGACAAAAGACCAAGCAAATCTGTCTTGGAGGAAGTGCATTCAGGGTATTCCTTGGAGCAAGGATGGTGAAACTCGGTCTTACATCCTTTAGGCATGTCATTAGGAGGGACCAGCCTTGGAAAAAGATATCATGCTGGGAAAGGTAAAAGGTCAACGAAGGAGAGGACAACCCACAACAAGATGTATTGACACTTGATTACAACAATGAGCTTGAGTATGGCAGAGACGGTGAGGATGGCACAGGATAGGGCGAAGCTTGAATCTGTTGTTCAAATTGTCACCATGAGTCATTGTCAACTTTGTGGCCCCCATAACAACAATGTGGCACAGTATAGTTAAATGTTCAACTACTAAAAAGGTCAGTGGTTCAAGTCCACCAGCAGCTCCCGAGGAAAAAAAAATCTGGTGATGTACTTCTTTAAAGAATTCTAACTGGTTGCTATAATATATTTTTTCTGGTTTTCTTCTTTTTTTGTTTTCAACTTTAAGATATTAATAAATAATTCCTTTTTTTTTAAGAAAAAAGAAAAGAAACACTATCAAAAGAATCAACTCATAGCGGGCCATCCAGTGGGTTGGCAAAGCAATTCCATATGCAGAACAGATCATTTAGGAGGTTGGGCTTTATGAGAAGGGAAGTGGCATCAAGATTGGAGGAAGACTCATGCATAATAACCTGCGTTATGCAGGTGACACAACATTACTTGCTGAAACTGAGGAGGATCAGAAGCGCTTGCTGCAGAAGGTCAAAAACTATAGTCTGCAATGTGGATTGAAGCTCAACATCAAGACCACAAAGATTCTCACTGGGCCAATTGACATGATGAATGGAGAAGAGATTGAGGTTCTTAATAATTACAGCTTGTTCAGCTCCACAATCAACACTCTTGGCACCAGCAATCAGGAAATAAAAAAACCAATTGTGCTAAGTAAATCTGTTGTCAGGAATCTCTCCAGAATAGTAAGAAGCAACAATGTCAGTCTAGAGACTAAGGTACACCTAATCCAGGCCACGATATTCTCAATTACTAGAAATGCATCAGAGATCTGGACAACGACTAAGGATGACCGAAGAAGAATCAATGCCTTTCAGTTGTGGTGCTGGAGAAGAGTCTTGAACATACCATAGACCACTGAGAAAACAAATAGATCTTGTCTTAGAGAGGGTGAAACCAAGTCTCTCCTTGGAGGCTACAATTTTGAAGCTCTGTCTCACATACTTTGGGCATATGGCCAGGAAGGACCAATCCTTGGAGAAGGACAACATGCTTAGAAGGGTGGACGGACAGCACAGGAGAGGGAGACTCCGGATGAGATGGATTGATACAGTAACTGGGGCGATGGCGGTTGGTGTGTCAGAATTAGTGAGACTGGCTCAGGATAGGGCGAGCTTCAGAGCTGCTGTACATAGGGTCGCTATGAGTTGCAGGTGACTCCAAGTCACATAACAACAAGCCACATAGAGTTTTCTTTGTTGTACTCCTGATGCCTTGTCAGAATAGGGTGTGTCCTAAACCTGATCATTACCAATTTTTATAAAGAGCAGCACAGAAAAAAGAAGTGCAAAAAGGAAAGATGAAGGGACACAAAAAGTTTGTCAAGTTGCTGAGGACATCCAGGGCTGCAGAAGTTAAAGAAGGCTCTTCTGATTAAATCCTTGTGCATATCAAAAAATTTTTTTCCAACAGGGTGAAAAGAAAATCTACTGACTGGGGAAAAACATTTGGCAATGCCATTTCAGACAAGAGTCTCATAACAAAAGCTTAGAAAATCCTACAAGGCCTCCACAAGAAAAAGACTGATTACACAATTACAAAATGGGCAAATGACATAGAATGATTTTTCACAGAGGGAAATATTCGGATGACCAACAGACACATGAAAAAAACGCTCAAAATCACTGGTAATAGGGTAGATGCAAATCAAAACCACACTGAGATACCACCTCACCCCATCAGCAGCGGCAAAGTCTAACAGGATAGCAAGTAATAAATATTGGAGAGGATATGGAAAGATAGGAACTCTTTTGTGTGTGTTTGTGTGCGTGTACCGTCAAATTGGATCTGACCGGTACAGGAGGAGATTGTCCCTCCTCCAGCAAAGCATCTGGTGATTTCGAACCATGCACTTCTGGATTGCAGTACAGCTTCTTGCCACTAGCCACCAGAGCTCTTATACACTGTTAGTGGGATTGTAAAATGGTTTAAGGCACTTTGACATTTCCTTAAAAAGCTGAACATAGAAATTCTACATGACCCAGCTATTTCACTGCTAGGAATATACCTCAAAAAAATTATAACTGAGACACAGATATTTGTAAGCCAATGTTCATAGCTACATTATGCATCATCACAAGAACATGAAATAGCCCAAATGCCCAACCACAACCAAATGGATTCAAGAAGTGTGGTATATTCACCCAGTGGAATACTACACAGCACTCAGGAGCAACAATTTTTTTAAACCTTTTTTTTAAGTATTTTTTTTATTTTATTATTTTGTGTGCGTGTACCGTCAAATCAGATCTGACTGGTACAGGAGGATATTGCGCCTCCTTCTCCGGCAGAGCATCTGGTGGATTCGAACCGTGTTCCTCTGGGATTGCAGTGCAGCTTCTTGTCACTAGGCCACCAGAGCTCCCCTAGGAGCAACAATTTTTAAAAATTACTACATACCTTGGGAGAGACTGGAAAGCATTATGCTTAGTGAACTAACTCAGTCCCATAAGGACAAATATTGTATAAGACTATTATTGTAGAAATAGAAAGATAACTAGTAAAATAGGTAAGAGGATCCAAGGAGGGGAGAGGAGGAACAGAGGAGTGAAGATGGGCAGGGGAGTATCATAGAGCCCACAATTTGGTGGGTGGAAGGAGGGCTAGGTAAAGGCAATAGGAAAGATCTGGAAAGACAGGATAATGATGGGTCTAGTTCAATGGTGATTAATTTTATAAAACAATCAATGGTGTAATAATGGTATGATACACAATGTGAATGAAGGACAGCATGAAACTATATATATATATATACTTTGTAAGCAAAGCAATATAAAGTAAAAATTTTTAAAAACTTTAAAAAAAGAAGGTTCTTCCCTCAGAGCCCACCCCCCACAGACAGTGAACCTTCCCCTAGAGACAGGGCTCTGACTTCAGACCACTAGCCTCGTGGATGGTAAGAAAATAAATTTCCGGATTTTAAAACCACTCAGTTATGATGTTTCTGTTACAGCAGCACTAGGAGACTAAGACAAGCAATTCTCATCACTGTCTAGTCTAGAACTAACTCATAGATGATCCTCCAGCAGCTTGGTGAGCCTATAAATGCCACAGGAAGAGCCGCTAGTGGATTCAAACTACCAGGGAGGCCCACCTTTGGGTTAGAAGTGTGATTCCCAAGGAGTTGCCTCCCTACGCCACCGATGCTCCCTAAGACTGTCCATTAGTAACGTGTTAAAGTCACCAGAGGAATTGGCTTTAGCTATGGCTACTGATCATGGTCATATAGATCTGGTGGAGGGTAGGGGATGGATTATTCATGGTCTCACTTTGAAAACACTCCTGGAGGAGTCTGGGTAATGGAGTCATAGAAATAATTTTACTCTCTTCCCCAAGGGATCTTAGAATCCAGGAATCGCTATCTCCATCCTCACTCCAGTCCCCTCTAAAGCCCACCTTCCAGGCGACTCCACCCAGCCACGTCTACTTTCCAGCACCACCCGGGCCCCACACAGCAGGGTCTCTGCTTATCCCACTTTGTCACCTCACCTCCCTCATCTTGAAATGGACAAAGCCCACTGCCACCTCCTGCCAATCATCCCTTAGAACATTGGCACATGGGCCCTGACCCAAGCAGTCCCCAGCCAGTCCAGCCAGTACTCACATTCAGTGTGCCGGGGCCTCCCTCCAGCACCACACAGACGATGGGGATCTTGATGGCCACTTCTAGGACAAAGCATTGTACCCTAAATTAGGAAGGGTGGGGTTCAAAGCCCCCCTCACACTGTGTGGAGGACACTCTTCTCCAACCCCCTACCAGCTCCAGCTCACAGTTCTAGACCTGCCTTTCCTAGTCACCTGCTAAGCTGACTTGGAATATGTGCTGCAGGGATTAAGTAGCTTTCAACACTTTTAACAGGTTTCTATAGTTTCAGTTGTGGGCAGAAAACCAAAACCTGAGATAGGCTCCAATTTATAAAATATGAGCACACTATAACAATAGCCTGTTGGAGAAGCATGGGCAATCTCCTCCTGTGTGAGTTTTACTACCACTGAAAACCCACTGAAGGGTCAGCAATAGGTCGGTCCCAACTCAGTAGTACATAAACAACAATAGAACAACAGCCAAGATGAGAAAAACTGCTAGGACGGTCTGTTACCTGATTGTCGTTGAAAAGTTGTGACTTTCCTCACACTGGGCAAAGGGGTCTCAGCACAAGTGCACTTCTGGGAACTGAAATTTCCTGGACTCTTTCACCCCAGTACATCCTTCACTCTTGTTGTTCCAGAAGAGACTATGAACCAAGGACCTACTGCTCTAGCTCTGCTTAAATAACTTCAGAATGTCTCCCAAACCTGCCTCTCTTGGAGCACCCCAAACCTCACCTCCCTCTCCTCCCTGAGTCTCTCAGGGCCTGGATAGCCTTATCATAAGAAAATAAAACATTCCCTACAGACTGGCCTCAGCTGTAACCTTAGCAAAGTGCTTGCCATGGCAACCATCAGCGCCTCTTACAGAAGCTTGTCATTGTTAGATGCTGTCGAGTTGAGTACAAACCATAGAGACCGTGTGAAAACAGCTCTGAGCCCCGTCTTATTTTGTGCCATCCTCTTCATCTGTGACATATTTAAGCCCTTTGCTGCAGCCACCGTGACTGCTCATCTGGTGGAGGACCACCAGGGAATGTCGGGCGCCACAGGCTAACATGAGGAGGCATCTCAGAAGGACTTCAATCTTGCCTGACTGCCCTTCTTGCTCCTTCCTGTCATTATCTAGTCCTTCCTCTTCCCTTACAGAGATTATCTCATATAAAAGTTGTCCTTGTCTGTCTCAAAAGTGCCATTTTTTCTTTGACCTAGTGTTAAAGATGATGAGAGAAGAGATGCAGGCACATCTAACACATGTCCACCTGGCACCTCAATGAACGTCCTAAGCTCCTGCCACCATGGCTCCCATCGAGTGCCCTGACAGCTCACCCCACTCACTTTCTTCTTCTTCTCTCTGTTGCAATGTTAGTTCTTTTTTCTGCTCCGATATGAACTGTTTTTTCTGTTCTGATATGAACTTCTCCAGTCTGGTCCTCAGGGGGATCTCCACCCCATAAAGGCCGTGGGTCCCATCGTCCACCAGGATGAAGTGTGAGTGGTTGCTGTCCAGACAGGTGAGGTCGCCCTGACCTTCCTCATCCAGGTTGTACTCAGCAGGAAAGCAGCCCTGAAATGAACAGACAAGAATCAGGCAGACACGTGGTAAGGACCATGGTGTCAACACTGGGAATAAACTCACCACCACTGTCAGCCAGGGTGCTCCTTATGTTGTTGTTGTTGTTGTTGCTGTTAAGTGCCATCGAGTCATTTGCGACCCATAGTGACCCTATGTACAACAGCTCTAAACCCTGCTCTATCCTGTGCCAATCGCATTGCCTCTGACACACCCATCGCAATTACCCCAGTCACTGAATCAATCCACCTCATAGAGGGTCTTCCCCTCCTGTGCTGTCCCTCC